CCTTGTACAAATTGAATAAGTAAATATTATATAACTTATGATAAACAATGAACATGCAAAACATGTAATTACAGTCGATGCGCCGCCTGACATTGCATACATGTTCTTGTAATGTCAGGTTACTGCGAAATCTGTATGAGTGCAAAGTAAATGAAGAAAGTAAAAAAGGTAGGGATTATTCTGGGCATGGTACAAATGTTTTACACTGTAGAACAATGCAGACATATAGTCGGTGAAAGATGTACCTCTTGGTACGCTTTAATTAGCTATACTTGTAGTATAAGTAATCTATTAAATAAGCACAGGCATTCAAACAAATATGCAGACAAATCCGTGATACACCGTGCGCTTCCAATTGGACAACCAAACTAATTTGTAAGAGGAAAATTATTACAAATCATTTTTGTGTTAATTGCTTCTGTTTTCTTTTTTCTTCTTGAGATTTTTTTTCTTACTTTCTTTCTATGACAGTTGCTCAAGATTAAGTACAAGTGACTGCTAGCATTGGTAACTTGTTTGGGGTTTATTCCTTAAAATATTTAATTGATGGATAGTATGAAACAAAACATTTGGTAACATAATAAAACAGGTGGCCAATTACCAGACAATTACTTGTAAAACATGTAAACTGTAAACTCAACAAAAATATTTTATTAAACATATAATATTATGCTTAAGGCGTAAAAATATATAGTTAGAAGACACGGAATTTTACAAAAGGGATAAGAAGCAATAGTATTTGAAAAAAATCTACAACTGATTCTCAATTACGCTTGATTGAAAATCTGTAAATGTTACGTACTTTTTTTGTTTATTTGTTTGGTTTTACAACGCACCAACAAGTTGTATAGGACATATGACGCTGAAACAGGAAAGAAAATTTTGACTAACTTCCAGCAGGTGAGGTGGTTTTAACACCGGGTGTTGCTTTGAGGTTTGTAACACCCTAGGTTAGCCAAAACCAACTTTCCTGTTTCGGCGCCATATGACCAAAACTGTATTGGTGTGCGATAAAACCAAACAAATAAATAAATCAGGCGGGATTTGCACGGGTCGCATAGTTATATTCAGACTCAGGAATGAGGTACTTGTCTATTTCTTGTATATTAATCTTAATGTATTTTGGTATCATATTTTCAGTGCTTTATTAAATGTATAAAGTCTCCCACATAGAAAAATATACCGTCAATCATTGAGTGAGTATGTGTGTATCATTTATGTAAAGTCATTGCGGCTTATGTATCTAAACAAAAGTGATCTTATTGAGGAAAAACGAGACAAAAAGAGACGATTTGCATACTTTCTAATGTGAAACAAGCTCGACATAAATTTCATAAGCATATATAAGTAAAGTTAAAGGCCCATTTTGCCTCAGTAATGCTATCATTTAAATTTCTCAAAAACTTTATTTTTATAGTTTTGGTATTTTATTACATGTTCCAAAAATTATCCATTTGCCTTATACATGTATCTTTTGCTATCTTTTCCTCTTTTCTTTGTTGGCAATTGCTTTAATTATAGTGAACTAGTATTTTGTTATGAAGTCAAAATACTACTTTGTTTACATTTTTGCTACCTTTACGACACAACACGTTCAGTGCCACATTCTTCCGTTGTTAAACATCTATTTTACTCTAAGTTCATTATCAAAACATCGTTGAACACATGTTTGCCATTTCTAAAGTATTTTATAAAAATATGGATTTCTTAGGCATTATGTCTCTTAAACATACAGAATATAATGTTATAATGAAATGCCAAGAGGCTATCAAATTTCTTCGAAAGAAATTGTATTAATGTAGAAGTATACTTTCCGAGAACAGAACAGTATTAACTCAAATCATTTTACAGTTATACATGAGCATACCACGCAAAAATGCAAATTCATACGACTTGATATCTTGAGGGTGAGGGGTAGTAAAATTGGTACATTTAATATAAAATGAAATTATAGTAAGTGTCTGAAAGTAAACACGTCTTGGTGTCATTAGATTAACAAAAAAATCTGAATAGTTTACCAGTTTCGCATGTGATCAAATGTAGGGTTGTGACTTTCAATTACACAAATTAAAGGGCCAGTAAGCCTTTAGAAATGTTTTCAGTTTTATTTCTCAAAAGCTTTTATTTTTGGTGTGTTTATATAGTTACAAAAAAGTTACCAATTGTCAATTACCTGAACCATCTTTCTCTTCTGTTGCTTTTTGTTAATTGGTACAGTTATTGGTTAGTGATTTAGTATTTGTATGGAAGTGAAAATAATTACTTTGTTTACATTTTACAAATATGATGACAACTAATTTCACATGTAGCGGTACTTTCTCATGGTAACAAGCATCTGGCATGCTCTAAAATAAGTATTTCGAATTATAAAACTCATCTTTGCCCTTTCTAAAAATGTAAAATTTATCTGTTTCGGAGGCATTATGTGCCTTTAAAGTTACCTTATTCGTATGTAAGCCCCGGTATAATTCAGTTGTATAATAAGTCACGTGATGTGATCACTTTTAAAACCCCCACTGAAAGATAATGCAATGTACTGGTTTGAACCTTTGAACCTAAACACTCAAGCTTTTACAACCAGACGACTTAAAACCGTTTCTCGGCCACTCAATGCACATTCCAAACTCTCAGCGCCTACCGTATTAACACTCCGTAAAGAGGTGTATGCAGTTTGTTTTTTCTTCAGAGTTTGAAGAGCTGGCCGTCGTATTAGCTTGTTGCCTTGGGATTACCAATACACGTCCCTATTATTTATCATGCATACTTTGAAAATGACTAAATCAAAAGGATTTACCGATAAGTGAAAATTTTGATCATTTGTAGGCTGATAAACACTAATTTGTCAAAACAGTACTTCAAGTAAGAGGTAATAAGATAAAAGAGATTATTCTCCGCTGTGAAACCACAAGTATTTTTAACGTTTTTAATGCTAAAAATACAACAAGATTTTTACTTTCGCGACAAGTATTTCATTGATCCTTTTTCAACGCTTTGGTGTAATAGTGAACTTTATTTAGAGTTCATTAATGTTGATAAGAATTCGATTAATATTGTATTGGTGATACTTTGTAAAAGCCTTTATTATGCAAGTTGTTTCAAATACTTCTTTTATGTAGAGTTGCACAATTGTATACATAGCTATATTTTCATCATTTGGTTCGATTATAGTGGAGTTTTTTTGCCTTTTTGTACCGATAAACCTTCATATGCAGTCATGAAAGGGTGTAATGCTATAACGAACAAACTTAATAAAACAATAAGTAAATAAAAAATAAAAAAAAGAAGTCCGCAGTTCACACCGGATTGGTGGGTGGGCAAAACATCTCGATATTGTCTAGCTTATTTTGGAATTGCATTAACTGTAAACCAGACACATAACAAAGAAAGACATCGCTCAAATATTCTGTTGAATATTCAACCTGTCTTCATTAAAAAGATGCACAGATTTAGTTAAAACAGAATCGGCAGCCTAGTCGTTATTGTGTTGTCTCTTCCAACTCAATTACGTGACAGTTCAAAAAAGTGTAACCGAATTTGTTCCTCATTCGAGCTTTTTTGAAAACTGCCTTTGCGTAAAAGAAGCAGATCAGGACATTGTGGAAATGTTTAAAAGTTGCAAAAAGTTGTCATCCCAATACTTTTTAATACTTTGAAGTAAAATTAAATAATATACGTGTTATTGCGTTACCTTTGGAATACTTAATACTTAATGATCATGTTTGTAAATTAATGTAAAGTAAACAGTGATCGAGAACCCACCCTTTGAAAATTTTGCGAGTGTTAATGTGGAAAAACATTTCAGGATTTGTCCAAGTATCCTACTTATGCTAGTCATAACACTTATTGTGTAGGTTACTTTGCCAATCTTCACGCAGTGGTCTCCCTTACATTATCCGGTACTGATCAAGGGATGTAACCGTAGTAAGCATTAATTAATTACTCAGTTTCTCAAAGAATTTCTGTTAATAAATGTTTTTAAGGGAGATGGCTTTAATTAAACGAGAATCGTCCGTAAAATATCTTTTAAAAATCTGTTATAAAAAAAAGCACTGACAAAATATGAACGAATACAAAACATGTAAGATATTTATTCAGCTGAATGATTAACTTAGCGTATTTGTATAGTAAGGATAGCTATCAAAACATTGTCAAAACACATTTTAAAAGATTATCTTATTTTATTTCATGAATTATGTCCTTTTTTTCTACATCAGGAGATGCTTTCATTCAGGGATAATCGTACAATCACCATTTTATATAACACAGACTTTTTACGATAACCAGCATTTTTGAAATATTTTCAGTAATATTTTGAAATTAAAACAAACAAATTTTCGAAATGATTAAAATGTTTTCAGTAACATTATTTGTGATTTATTTTCCCCGGTCTTCCCGTTTTTTGCAATGGTATATTTGAGTAAGCGACATGGAAGGTATTTGTTTACTCAAAGCAAACAGTTATTTATATATATTAGCATTTTGCTGTCCTTAAAGGAGCTCAACTGAGGTCAAAAAAAGCCAAAAGTATGGAGACATTTGCAAATAAATGATAATAAAGAAATATGCTTAGAAGAAAACGGAATATCGTTTTTTTTGTGCAATTCTTAGCCCAATTTTATTTTTGGGTCAGTTTTAACAACAAAATTGACTTGGAAAAACGAGGCAAAGGTATGACCTGAAAAAATAGCACACAAGTTACAGGTCCAGACATATTTCAAATGCCATCTTAAATAAAGTAGAAATGAAATAGAATAGAAAAAAGTTCATCATGTAATTTAAAACATTATTAGGCTGAATTCGATAACCAAGACTTCAATGAATATTTTAATTGAGGTCTTTTAATTTGATTTGAATCTTAACTTTTCTTTTGATATACAGAATGCTTATTTCTTTAGCATTTCTTTAGCATTTCTTTAGCATAAATATTGATCATCGAATAAAACATTTGCCTGCGAAATTCTATACAAAAATTAAGTTTCTTTCACAGATTTGTTAAATCAACACAAAGTTAACGTTTTTAATGCAGCCTTTCGCATTCTATAAGCAGTTTGACCTTGACCGACAGTAATAAATATCATAAAACATCTATTACAAAATGGCTTTTTCTATATTTGTTCGAACACAATAATTATTTAAATATCTTAAATATGAATGCTTATAAACTGAATAATAAGATTTGTTAAACTTTAACCGATTTTTACTTACAGTTTGTACATACAAGTATGATTATGTTTATCTTTCGTATCAAATTGTTAATCGTTGATACATTGGTATTTGCATGGCAATCACCTTGCTGTGTTCTTTAGACACTCAAATATTCCAAAACTTATATCTGCATTAAAATTTATCGAAAATGCACAAGTTATACTTGCAGTACATGTTTGTAAAACAAAGACAGCGTACTTTTTTTAATTGTGTCATTGGAATTATTGCAAGGTGATTATTTAAACAATGCAAAATAGTTAGTTTCTACATAAACTCAATTGCTGGATATCCCTGAATTATTATCTGAAAGATAATGGATTAATTCAAAAGTGGAATAATAGAAGAAGCTTATTGTAATTTAAATTATTGGCTATGTCTTTAAACTATAAACCGAGAAAATATAAGGCGGCCATACCGGAAGACAGTATACCGGAAGTACATACAGAATCAGACAGCAGTGATGAAGAGCATGGTACAGTCAGAACACATAGGTAATTACATTAAGTATAACATCATACATGTACGAATTTACCAATATAATTTTGTCTATTACAGTGTGAAATGATTCTATTAGAAGCATTTATTTTTCACTTATGTAATAGTCTGACAAAATTTTGTACTGTAAATTAAAATTCCCTCTATGTTTCAATTGATCACCCCTTGTCAACTTAACATAACAATTGGAAAAGACAACTGCCATGGGAGGTTCATATAAAAAATATACTTCATGAAGCCTAGTTCGATCAATATAACCATCTGAACAAATACTTTCATTTCATTATTCCAGGTGGACTAAAAGACCAAGACTTTCAGTCGTTTCTGAAGCTAATCCTTCACCAAGAGTATCAGCGTTTGAGGTTTGTAAAAGTGTTCCATTCAACATTAAAATTTCTTGTTTTCACAACCGATTTCTGAAACAAAAACAACATTTAAATCTTTAACAAGAAAATAAACTGCACTGCTCTTAGCAATAACAAAAAAAAGTTAATCATGAAATTCACTACAAAATAAAAAATCATGTAAACCCTATAAGTCTTATATTGTTTAACTCAATATTTAAATTTAGTTTCCAGGTACTGTTTCGTATGACATAAAGATGAAATATTCCTATTTAATAACTTTGCAACTTATACATGTATGTATCTTTTATTCTAGGTGCCAAATCCCGCCTTTCTAAGACTTCCTAGTGACAAGAAAAGCGAATCTGAATTAAAGAAAGCACTCTTTAGAAGAATAGCTGGAACTTGCTTAGTCATTATCACAATAGTCCTCCTCATTATTGTTATTTATATGGTTTCTGAAACGCCAAAAACTCATGTTTGTAAATATGGTGACAGTGACTACGTAACACCACGTGACCTTGATAACCCGGAAGTGTTCGATGATCTCACACCGGAAGAATATGAAGCAGTCAACGGTTACATGATGCGCATTAAAGATCTGAATCTAATTCGGTTTCAATCAGCAACTGTAAACAGTAGTTATATCTATATGATAGATTTATTCCTGCCAAATAAAGATGAAATTATTGAATACCTTGACAATGGAAGTAAAAGACCCGCACGTGAAGCAATCGTGACTGTTGTCAGGGGTGATAGAGTCCCTCCAGTTGTTGAAGAGTATATTGTATCCCCTGCATCGCTTCCAGAAGAACACAGGCTATACAAAAATCCGTCATATAAGCATAATCCAATTCCATATACTAGTCGGCCAATAGATGGTATTGACAACAAGTTCCTGTTCTCGGTAATAATAAACAAAGTAACTGAAGAACTTTACCCATTGCTGATTGAAAGTTACGGTATGTGTCACCATAACTGCACAAAAGGTGTAAACTGTTTAAAGATATTTGTAACAGCACCACGAGGATTATATAATAGAGACCGGAAGTCATGGGCTAGAGTATTTCCGGATGTTGATGGCTATTACATTCACCCACTCGGACTTCAATTCCTTATAGATCATAGTTCAACAGATATAAATAAATGGAGAATGGTACAGATAATATATAATGGTCAAATGTTTGAAACAGTTTCTGCTTTGATGAATGCCTACCGTTCAAAATCGCTTAAATTAATTCATATTCACCATGACAAACATGAACAACTATATTCGTCCTATGAAGCAAGAGGTGACCGCCCCAAACATCCAGCACAAGGTCCTAAATTAACTGAGCCAGATGGGAAAAGGTTTAAAGTAAAAGGACAGCGTGTTTCTTATGGTAAATGGAGTTTCTACTACCATATGCGTCCAACAACTGGAATGCAAGTATTCGATGTTAAATTTGATGATGTAAGAATAGCGTATGAAATAAGTTTGCAAGAGGTGCTTGTTTTGTATTCGGGCTATGAGCCTTCTCAAGGTACATCAAATAATTATGATGCTTCGCGACTTCTTGGAGCATCAAGTATGGAGCTTGTAAGAGGAGTAGATTGTCCTGATACAGCGGTCTATCTGGATACCGTCTTCTTTGCAAATGCTGGGCGTGCAAAGAGGTATAAAAACAACGTGTGTTTGTTTGAAAATAATGGCGGCAAACCAATGAGGAGGCACTACCAAGATAACTTTAATGACGGATACAAATTTTACGGTGGCATTCGGACTATCACTTGATAATAAGAACTATTGCCACAATCTGGAACTATGACTATGTTTTTGACTATATATTTTATAACAACGGCGCTGTGGAGGTGAAAGCGTCCATCACAGGATACGTACAGGCAACGTTCGGTTGAACAAAGAAGATCCCATATGGAAGTCCCATTCGAGATCACTTTATGGCAGATCTACATGTTCACATGTTCAATTATAAAGTTGATTTAGACATTGTTGGCACTGCAAATCGTTATACGGTAAATAATATTGAAGTAGAAACCAAACCACATCCGTGGTACCCTGACTTCAACATTTCCCAGCTTCGTATTAAACCAGAATTGATAAATACTGAAACTAAAGCAGTCACAGCATATCAATCAAACATGCCCCAGTATCACATATTTCATAGTGATGAAGCAAAGAGCCAGTACGGGTCACACCGAGGTTACAGACTACTAAATCGTTCTCCTGTTTTCCGTCTCCTGTCAAACAATCCAATGACGGGTGAGGCAAAATGGGCCAATTATTCTGTTATTGTGACCAAAAGGAAGGAATCTGAAAGAGACTCGTCGTCAATTTTCTCACAAAATGATCCTTTTGACCCTATCATTAGCATCGATGATTTTATAGACGATGAAAATTTAGTAGACGAGGACCTTGTTGCCTGGCTAACAGTTGGTACCCATCATATTCCCGGGACGGAGGACGTACCGTCTACACCGACAACATGGAACCAATTTTCGTTTATTCTCACACCATATAATTATTTCTCTGAATGTCCAAGTCTTAACTCAGCAGATAATGTTCTCATACGGCCACCAGATAGGGACAACAAAAAAGCCGCTGTGGAAACATACGGGCGTTCATTTGAGTCAAAATGCATTCCTGTGTCAGTAGGTCCTTACGACTACGACGGAATTCGTCGATGATTTTATCTGCCAAATATTAACATTCATATGATTAAAAAATAAATTATGTGTCGAGTGTCTGTATAGTATTAGTACTTTAAACCAAGTAAGTTTAAAAACTGGTGTGTCTGTACAACTACACGGAAATTTAAATTTCTGTATTTGCATTTTACAATTTCTATTTTTATGCTCCCCGAAGGGTGAGCATATACTCGCAGCTTTGACCGTCCGTCTGTCCGTCCGTCCGTCCGCTATTCTTGTCCGGGACATAATTTGAAACAACAAGAGGTATCAACATGAAAATTTGTAGGTAGATGTGCAGTGCACAAGAACCATAACTCTACCTTACCTATTTTTTTGAATTATTGCCCTTTGTTCACTTTTACACTTTGAACTTTGTCCGGGACATAACTCTAAAACTAAAAGAGATATCAACACAAAACTTTACAGGTAGAGAGATCTCATTGAATAGAAAATGCAGTGCTAAAGAACCATAACTCTGCCTTGCCTTATTTTGGAGTTATTGCCCTCTGTTCATTTTTTTATACTTTTTGTGTCCAAAACCTACTCGGGGAGCATCACCCGGTTCAACCGGTTCTTGTCTTTAAAATTTAGTTTGGACGTTCGGATCGGACTAAAAAATTGTTACTAAAAAAATCGTTCCTTTTTTTGGGAAAATTTATTCATTTGACTTAATTTTTGAATTAAACTTTGAATTACCCGGGGAACATACTTGCTAAAACTTAAGAACAATTTTTCCAACAAAACAACTTTATCTAGAAGAAAAATATCCTTGGTGGAAAGGTGATTTAAGACCTAATTATATTTGCTTTTTTAAAGGAAATTCCCTTGGTACATTTCCTTTTGTAACTACTGATTTTTCCCTTAAAAATAATCATGTTAGACAGGTTGGAACTTTCCTTGGAAACAGATCTGATGTGAAATTTAGTAGCAAATTTCGTTATTTGCTGATAAAATAAAGCACTTTAAATTCTGTTGTACTTCAACCGGAGGGTCAGCTAACTTAATTCTGTTTGAACATTAATTAAGACAATTTTAAAAAAAATATAAATTTTATTGGGCCTTGTGCTTTTTAAATAATGTTTTAGTATCCTTAAACAAATTTAACGGACTTACAGGCTTATAAAATTTTTGATGCTATGATTTGTAATTTAAAAAAAAAGGAAAAAAAATTTAAAAAGAATAATTAAAGGCAAAATTAAACCTTTTCCTTATTAATAAAAACATTTCAAATTGTTGCCCAAAACTTAAGGGGAACAAACATTTGTAAAAAGGTTACTTTTTTGAAAAACAAAAATATAGGCGGTTTTGGGAAAGGGTTTGATTTTATTTTTAAAAACTGTAATAAAAAGGAAAATAAACGCCTTAGGAAAGGGAACTCATTTTCCCTCATTTTTTTGGGCAAGTTAGATTTTAAAAATTAAATAAAAAATTTAATTAATTTTTAAAACAATTAGTTTGGAAACTATCACTTTAAAAGATTAAATTAAATGAATTTATTTTCCCCAAACAAAAGGGTTAAAAAAGAATACATTAAATTATTTTACTTCCCAAAAAAATAAAAATCCTTAACCCAACATAATAACTTAACATAATACAACAAATTTTTAAAAACATTTTAAACAATAAAATACCAGACATACAACATACATTACATAATAATGAAATACAAAATAATTTTTCATTCATACATCCTTTTCATACATACTTTATCTAATTTAAAAATTATCAGAATAATTTACCTTTTAATACTTTTTCACCTTTTTCCCGAAATAAATTTCATTAATAAAATAAATACAACAAAACACAACTAGTAGATGGGGCAATTTAAATTTCAGAAGATTAATTTTTACTCCTTAATTAGGGTTTCATTTTTACCCAAGGCACAAGCATAAATTAGTTAAAGGAAAAAGTGAAGAATTTTGGTTTAAACAACAGAGACATACATCTCTGCGTTTAAAACTATACCACCAAATCTAAAAGCATCCTGTTAAATTATTAATAATGTCAATGTATTTTAGCAGACTAAGTCGTGTATTTTTTCTTCAACTTTTAAAATCATCCATCCGCGCTTAACTATGATGAGAACAATATTTAAAGATTTCAGTCGTGAAAGCTAAAAAATATTGACGCGCATGCGCCGTACGTACTTCCTTTCAAAACCCAAACATGTCGAAGAGAGGTAGAAAATAGTTTACCTTTACTTAATCATCCGTTTGTATCATTGTAATCCAGATAAATTACGAGTTTTAGACCAACTAAAACACTAGTTCATTTTATTTTTAATGTGTTGTAGACATGATTTTGTTGCTAATTGTCACTGTTGGGGAAAAATTAAAGATTACTTGAAGCCCCTGAAAAAAAAGATAAAGTTTTACAACGATAATACCTAATAGATAAAAATTTTTTTTAAAAAGTTTTGGGTTTTAATTTTAATAAATAAACCCGTCTTTTTTTTGGATTAATTTAAAAAATTTTAAATGTAATTTTTTAGTAAAAAATATGTTCCAATTTCAATAGTTAGATAATTGTTGAAAAATTTCAGAGCTTGTGGATAGACATTGGCCCGACATGTAGAATTTTTTAAATAGGCTCATTCTGTCTATTGTTGCAGCACATGCACTTGACATTTTTAAACAAACCTTGCAATATTTTTCAGGTCGTGGAGGTTCTGCGGGAGGTAAATTCCGTATCTCTCTGGCCTTGCCAGTAGGCGCCGTCATTAACTGTGCTGACAACACAGGTAACTTTAATTGATCTTTTAAACCTGTCGTTAACATATTGTTAATTTCCATTTCCTCATCTTGTTCGTTGCGTTTGATTTAACGAATATCCCAATTCATTATTATCAGTGTGCGTATCTGACATACGAACAGCACAAATTGATTCAACATTTTCTTTAATTTCTACATCTTCGTAGAGTTGTCATTGTATTGGATGATGAATATCGATATTGCGATATTCAGTGACAGTCCTGCGTCTTAGCACAGTGTACTTCTTATTTCGTATTTTATGTGTCGGGTAAAACATAGAAGCAGTGTTATTCTAATCAATTGCCTGACTGTTGATTATTAATTTAGTATTAAAATGTCATGCAAAACTGTTGGCGTTGAATGTTGAAAACATCATACATTGTTGATCTAGTATTTTCTGTTATCTTGAATAATAAACTTTTAGCATGTTTCCAAATCATGCCGGATGTAAAATAAAATATCTCTTCATTAAGATCATGTGGTATTTGAATTTTGATTTCCAGGTGCCAAGAATCTGTACGTAATTGCTGTGCAAGGTATCAAGGGTCGTCTCAACAGAATGCCAGCTGCAGGTGTTGGTGACATGATTGTTGCTACAGTCAAAAAGGGAAAGCCAGAACTTAGAAAAAAAGGTATTGTCTTTGAAATACATATATGAAAAACAAGATGTGTGAATATAATAAACATCATGTATACATGAAAGTACAGTATTTTACTGAAGACCAATTACTAATTATTGTTGCTGGTATTTTATGACTTGAATTTGGATTTGAAAGTAAATTTTCATCATTTGTAATTAGATAAGGGAACACACCTCTGTAGTGGGGCAGCAAAATCAATTGTCGGTATTGCCCATGTTGTGTCACAGCCTGTATGGACTAGTTGAAAATATCAAGAATTTACCATATAAAATAATAAATAGCACACAGACAAGTTAAGCAATGCTTTAGATAAAAATGGGCAAGTAGGTCAATATCTGATTTTGCTGTCCCTGATCTGGATAGGTAAATAAAATAAGAATGAAATATCCAATTAATGATAAATACTGGTGTAGTTTGGTTTAATGTGATACCAGTATTACTGACTTCTTTATTCAAGAAAGTATATTAACTTACTGGTCAGTTTAGCACACACAAGCTACTGCATTGCTAAGGCAATGCCAATATGAATAGAAAGGATAAAAGCTAGATGTATTTGGGCAGGAGTAAACAACAACTAACACAATTCAGGGATATTTTTTTTGGCTTATTTTATAGCCACTTTTCGGTCATATTTCCAATTGATAATAGTATATTATTTTCCCAATCCACAGGAAAAAATTCCCAATAGAAAGTTACAAAATTAAAATATTGAATAACAAATTCTAAAATCTTTGAAAATAAGGACTTCTTCACTGTGAAGGTGCTTAAATGTTTGAAGATGCCATCCTAGCAAATGATTCTTTGCTTTCATTTAATCACTAAAAAATTTAAGTAAGCATTTTTCCCCAATTTTTAACAAAACATTGCTGAATTTCCCAATTCCATGGGTATGGGTCATGTTCCCAAAATCCTGGAAAAAACCTTGCAATTATTTCACACATGCCTGATTTCACATCTAGAATTTTTTAGTCTAATTATATAATTTTGACTTTTACAGTATTACCTGCGGTGGTAGTAAGACAAAGAAAACCTATACGGCGGAAAGACGGCTCTTTTATATACTTTGAAGACAATGCGGGGGTAATTGTAAATAATAAAGGAGAAATGAAAGGTGAGTCAACTGTTTTATATTAGTTATATACTTTAACCCTTTGATTCATGACTGCTTTGATTTGAAACTGTTCATTTATAACTTTAGAGGATTCAATTTCAAAAATTTGCTTATATTGAGTTAAAACATTTTAAGTGTGGTCAGAATTATATTTTTGACAGGCTATTCATGAACACCACCCTGCACTGTCAAACAATGACATTACCTTAAACAGTGCTGTTTCAAATATATCAGAACAAACATTTAATTCATATAAGCTTGCTTAAGACAAGACAAAGGTTTTGGGGTTATGATCAACTTGTAATTATTAGTCAGATTTAAGTAAAATACTTCCAATAAGTGCTTTGAATGCTACTTGGACAGGTTCATTCTTCTGCCATGTCTACAGTATTTCAGTGGCCTTTAAAGCTAATAATCACCACACTCATTATACAGCAGAGCAACAGATAAGCTTTAAAAGTGAATTGGGTATTACTCCATCATTTCCTTTGGAAT